TTCGATAAAGTTCAATACTGTGCATGTTGTTTGACGTTCCTAACAGAACCCAACAAGAAGTGCCTGATGCCATAATCTTCACAAAAGCCTTCAAATCGTTTTCCTTCTAACTGACGACCGTTGTCGGTTATGACTGAGTTCGGTATTCCAAACCGACAAACAATTGACTTCCAAACAAAATCGATCATCTTCTGTTCGGTAATAGTTGCAAGAGGTTCGGCCTCAACCCATTTAGTGAAGTAATCAGCAGCTAATATTGCAAACCGGATACCTCCTTTTGCTGTCGAAAGTGGGCCAATCAAATCAATTCCCCATTTTGCGAATGGCCACGGGCTATATATTGACTTGAGGTGTTCAGGATGTTGATTAACATTGGGAGCAAATATTTGACACTTGTGACATTTTCGCACCCAATCTACGGCATCTTTTCTGATAGTCGGCCAATAGTAGCCTTGTCGGAGAATCTTGTAGGATAAAGCTTGTGCTCCTTGATGAGTACCGCAGACTCCTTCATGTACTTCTTAAAGAACACGTCGGGCGTCAATTTCTGACAAGCACTTGAGCAACGGAGTAGAATATCCACGCTTATATAATGTTTCTTGATCAATTGTGAAGTGAGAAGCATGAACACGAAGGGAGCGAGCTTCCTTTGGGTCTTCGGGTACGACCCCGGTTTGAAGGTAGTTAATAATTGGATCCATCCATGTCGGGTCGGGGATTGGTGAAGCAGCGTCAATCATGACGACATCGGTGGAAACTGTTGATGAGGTCGCTTGTTGAGTAATTTGCACAAACTCGACATTGTTCAAATCGGTTGAAGAGGCCAAACGTGAAAGAGCATCTGCTTGAATATTAGATGACCGAGGCATGTGTTCTACCGTCATTTTGAACCGTGATAGCTTCTTCTTGACGAGATCAAAATAAGGTAACAACCGAGGTTCCTTAACTTCATAAGTGCCATTTTTATGGCTAACTAGCAACTGAGAGTCAGAAAATATTCGGAGAGAGGAAACATTCATGGATCCAGCAAAGTGTGGGCCTGATAAGAGAGCTTCATATTCAGCTTCATTATTGGTAGCCGGGAAAGTGAATGCTACAGAGTAACAAAACACTTGTTGATCAGGACTAACTAAAACAATTTCTCCTCCAGCTCGTATGGCGGTGGACGATCCATCGATGTAAAGAGTCCACGTCGGATCTTCAATAGACGTGTTGACAATTGGGGTAAATTCTGCTATGAAGTCAAACAACACTTGAGCTTTAATGGCAGTTCGTGGTCGGTATTGCATATCAAACTGTCCTAATTCTATTGCCCACTTAATCATTCTTCCCGACGTGTCAGGTCGGTGGAGGACTTGTCGGAGAGGGTATGATGTAAACACAACAATGGAATGCTCCAGAAAATATGGGCGCAGCTTTCGCGCGGCAATGATCAGAGCAAAGGCTAACTTCTCCATATACGGATATCGCAATTCAGCGTCATGTAAGGCCTTGCTAATGTAATATATCGGCAACTGTTGAAGCCCATTTTGTCGTATAAGAACAACACTAACAGCGACGTCACTCACACCCAAGTACAAATACAAAGGTTCATCAGGAAGAGGCTTCTACAATGTCGGTAATCGTGAAAGAACTTCTTTGATGTTTTCAAAAGCATTCTGACATTCCGCGGTCCATTCGAACGGTTTCTTCTTTCTGATAGCATCAAAAAATGGCTTACAATGGTCTGTCGACTTTGAAATGAATCGGTTTAGAGCCGCCAGTCGACCAGTTAAAGCCTGGACACCTTTAATAGATGTCGGGGGAGCCAATTCAAGGATGGCTCGAATCTTGGCAGGATTAGCTTCGATTCCTCTTTGACTCACCATGTATCCTAAAAATTTCCCTGACCCAACTCCAAAGGTGCACTTTTTGGGATTAAGCAACATTGAATATTCTCGAAGAATATCAAAGACTTCTGAAAGATGAGCAATATGATCAGAGGCTTGTTCTGATTTCACCAGCATGTCGTCTACATAGACTTCCATCGTATGGCCGATCAAGCGTGCGAACATCTTATTGACCAACCGTTGATATGTAGCCCCAACATTCTTTAATCCGAAAGTCATCATAACATAACAGTAAAGACCACGAGCTGAATAAAACGAAGTATGCTCAACATCATCAGGGTGCATGGGGATTTGATTATTACCGGAATAGGCGTCCAAAAAACTCATGAGTTGATGTCCCGATGTAGCGTCTACCATGTAATCAATGTGTGGAATTGGATAGCTATCTTTTGGGCATGCTTGGTTCAAATCCAAGAAATCAATACAGAGACGCCAAAGACCGGTAGCTTTCTTAACCAAGACATGATTTGATATCCACGTCGGATATTTAGCTTCTTTAACAAACTTGTTGTCTATAAGCTTGTTCACTTCCTCTTCAAGAGCCTTCTGGCGATCTGGACCGAATTTTCGGCGTTTCTGTATAACAGGCTTGACAGTCTTATCCAAATTTAGACGATGACATGCTTTCTGTGGGTCTATTCCTTTCATGTCTTCGTGCTTCCAGGCGAACACATCAGAATTTGACTGAAGAAATTGAATTAAACACGAGCATGTGGGTTCTTGAAGGCTAGCTCCAATGCGTAATGATTTTTCCTGAGTCAAGCCATCCACATAAATAGTTTCGATGTCTTCAAATGGCTCCGCTCGGACATGATGATTCTTGTCCTTAAATTGCATCCGGGGATTCATATCTTCGTGTACTCCTATGTCTTTCTCATGAAAAGATTGTCCTGGATCAAGGGCTTCGTTTTATGTTTCAGACAAATCCGACGTCGCAGGGACATCGGTATCATCTACAAGAGGGATGTCGGTATCTGAAGCAAACTGATTAGTCCTTTGAGCCTCAGGAAGTGTTGGATTTCTTAACTCAATAGAATTATCAGTTTTCTGTTGTTCAAACATATGAAAGTCACGCGAGGTTGAGAGCAACGTCAGACTTCGGGCTTCTCGTTGATCTCCGTAATGGGTGCCTTCTCCTTCGATGGTAGGGAACTTCAAGGCGTAATGAAAAATTGACACGGCAGCACGGAGTTTGTAAAGTGCAGTTCGTCCTACAACAACATTATATTCATTCTGAACATCCAAAACTTTGAAAGTCTCCATGATAATCTTGGATTTCGGTCCAAAACCGCCAAATTGAATAGGGAGTAATATTTCACCGACAGGGCGAGAGATGCTTCCATTAAGACCTTGAATTTGGTCGTTGCAAGGTCTAATATCTACTGGGTCCAAACCCAATTTCTCGAAAGTGCGGAGCATCAAAATACTTGAATAAGCTCCTGTATCGACCATAGTTCGGTGGACAGGAATCCCTCCAATCGGGGCTGTGATAATAAGGGTGTCAGAATGAGGATGAGCGAATAAATTAGCGTCTTCGATATTGAATGTGATAGGACAATTCCGCTGATTAATGGTATCTCGAAGATCAACGTTCATGACTCGTTTCTCGGCATTTTGTGCCTCCCTGGCATAGGCTTTGGTTTTCCGCCGAGAAGTGTCCAACTGTTTAGCATTAGAATTGATTCGAGTTATGCAAGGTGAAGAGCCTGATTTGTCATGTGCCTTGGATTTTTTGCAGTTATCGGTCGACGTACCGAAAAGAGTAGAATACGTGAAAACCTCCTTATCATTCGCGCGGGCTCTTTTCGGATTAACAGGTCAGTTATCATCATCTTCATCATCTGAAAGATCTATGGGTTTCCCTTTCCGGCGATTATCAAAATTTCAGAACTTTTGAAGCTGAGGTTGTCCAATTAACCGTAAGAGAGCTGACAAAAGACCGAGACACTCATCGGTATTATGTCCCGGAGACTTGTGGTATGCACAGTACCGGGTTTTGTCCAGCTTGTCTTCAAGGGTTCTCACGGGTCTCGGGTCTGGAATAATCCCTTTTTCTTTTAGTTCTTCATATATTGTAGCTGCTCTGGCTGAATAAACGGCCTGATAGCCTGTTCTGACATTGTCTGAATATTGATCACGAGCGGCCCTGGACTCTGGAGTGTTTTCTTATCCTTTGGAGAAATTCCGAAATTGTGCTTTCCCAAAGTTATTCTTATTCTTCTTTTTAGCCTTCGGTTCAGTCTTGGTTTCTTGTGTCGAGAAGTCGAAACTGGGAACCAACATCGATTCCTCGTCAATAATGAATTGTTGAGCTCGTACAAGGAATTCTTGAAACGTAGCCGGTTTGTTTTGGCATAGGGTCCAGCGAAACATTGAGTTGGGTTTCAGTCCAGCAATTGCGGTCACTAACAAGATCTCAGGGTGACAAGGTTCCATATTCTGAATTCGGTCATTAAAGCGAGACATGTAGTCCTTAACAGTTTCGTCGTCCTTTTGCACGATATTAGTAATTGATTCTTTTGGGATGAGGCATATTTGAGCTCTGATGAAGTGTGATCGGAAAGCCGCTCGTAAGTGTTGCCACTTCCAAATTGAATGAGGTGGAAGAGTATAATACCACTTTTGTGCTCGCGGCCCCAGTGTAAGAGAGAATATCCGACACCTCAGAGCATCTGAGGCCCCATGCAAATCCATCCACGACGTATAATGACCCAAGTGCGCATCTGGGTCCGAGGTACCATCATACATGCCAATTTGTGGGATTTTTACTTTAACAGGGAGTGCTTCCGCGGTAAGTTCCGGAGCTAGGGGTGAATCAGCTTCAATGATGACATTTCCCGATGTCGAGACATGTCGGGGAAAATCTTCCTGTGACTTCTGTCGAGTCTCAAGTTCGGCCAAGTGTTTACGGAGAACTTCAATTTCCTCTGCACTGTGTCTCGAGATACGATTCCGTTCAATCTAACGTCGTAAATCTTCACGATCATGAGGCATCGATGAAGCAGGTCTGGGACATGACAGAATTCGTTGATGATGAGCAGAGTGGCTTTCAGCAGTCATTTCCTGTACATGAGGTTGCTCTGTAGCTTGATTGTTCATTACTGGATTGGTGGTTATACGTTTTAACTGCTCTCGATGTGGAGAAGTATGATGCGGTAGCGACGTAGCGTGTGATGTCGCAGCATGTGTTTCAGGATTGTGTTGAGTAGGATTGTGTTGCTCCACAGGATTTGTAAGATATGGTGTTGACACTGGTACAACACCCGAGTGCCTGGGCATAGCTTGAGCTATCAGGGAGGTAAAACCTTGAATAAACTCCGGGTTCTAAAGAAAGTTTGTAATATTCGTAACCGGAGGAGTCGGTGCAGTACGCCCTGGGGAACGATGAGTAGATTGACTGTGACCAGCATGAGACGCATGATCTCGACCGGATTGCGACATGGCGACTTCGAGCGTATAGGTAGCTGTAACAGCGAAAGTTATCCTCGCAACTATTACGCCGCCCTCCTTCTAGCGCCAAACTGTTGTTAAAACGGTAATTAACAACTATATCAAATTGATTATTATGTTAAGTATCTGGAATGATTCAATAAAGAATGTATATAAGGCTTAGAAAACAGAGTGTTTAGAATATTATTGTCTTTTTTATTCTCTCCCTTTGGAGAATCTGTTTTTCCCCTTTTGTATTTATTCACAACATTTATCTAAAAATGTAATCATTACATTGGAATAGTCAACGGAGGCTAATTGCCATTCATCTTAGTAACATGCCACTTGGCCAAGCGTAATGATGAGTTGTGCTGAGCTGGCACCGCCTTATGGTGTCGGTTTGGCAAGTCATAGATATCGGCTTGTGTGATTATAACCGATATATCATATCCGACGTGTGGTAACCGACATGTAATAACCGACATGAGATATCGGTCAGTCGATGAAGATGTCGGTTCTTGATGAATTTTTACCCGATATGTAATTGTCTTGAAACCCATGAAGACATCATTTACTTGTATGAATTTAATCATCTTCCTACGGAACATAATCATCTGATCAGCGTCGCTTAACTTGGTTTACTGAAAATGATGTAGACAACCAGCTTACCAGGCCGCCGCGACTCCGATAAAGACTGCGCCTAGGATTGCATGCCACGCCGTTGCCTGCGTCACGTCGTGCCAATCACGTCCACCTCGCTGCGAAGACTCGTCACACCGCAGCAGTTGTCTCTATCGCGCCGCGAGCCCCTTACACGCCGCGATACCGCCCAACCTTCACTCCACGGCCCACGCATGAAGGTCGTCATTCATCAACAAAGAAGCCCCTTTTCAGGCCTCTGCGTTGCAGCACTCGCGTCCCCTGCGCCACGCACATGGTTCTCGTGCCGTGTCATCGCTCTCCTATATATATTAGCATCGGGACTTCTATTAAAGGTATGCTGTAAAAGATATGTTTTGCAGATTCTATCAATTCCATTTTGATCTGGCCATCATGTTTCAGTCAAAGTACATATGCTTACAGTTTATGTTGGGTTCTATGAGGAACGTCAAACAACATGCACAATATTGAACTTATCGAAATAAATCCCAACGCAGCGGAATCTATAGTTAGGATATGGACGTTTACCTTTCAAAATTTTTGCTGACTCTGAGACGATGTAGAGTACCGTTGGTGTAGTTCGTCTGAATACCAAAATCTAATGGGCGGATAGATTTGGCCTTTATTCGATTCTAATCGAAGGTTCCAACAAAGCTCGGTTCACGGTACGCGGGTCTCAGGTCGGTTGCAGCGGCTAGACGCGAGTCGCGGTTGTTGGCAGCAGTTGGTCGCGAGTCGCGGTCGCTGGCAGCAGCTTGTTGCAAGTCACGGTCGCTGGCAGCAGTTGGTCGCGAGTCGCGGTCGCTGGCAACAACTTGCGGTTGGGCGTTGGCAGCTTCCGACGACTTCGGGCGGCGGTGATGGTTTTTCGGCGGTAGTCGACGACGACGATCGGCTGAAGAGGTGACCAAAAAATATATATGTATAAAGACTGAAGTATATTGTACCAAAAGGCCTTCTAACGGATTACCTAAATACCTATTTCGATTAAACTTGATGGAGTGTTTAATCGAATCTCGAACAATGGTATTTCTCATGTATGTAGGGGTGAAAAATCGGCCAGCATAATGATGATCAAGTGATTGGGACTTGATGTATTTATAAGCTCCATTAGGGACCTTGAGGAGTTGCTAAATATGGGCTTATCCCATTAGGCCTAGGAATCCTAATTCTACTCCAAATATTAATCCAATGTAGGAAAGAAATCTTCTACTAATCTAAGTCTTCTAGAAGACTCCTTAGTCTCCTAACACTAGAGAAGATTTAGTAGGAATACTTTTCCTAATTAAATTAATAATCATGGAATAAAATTAATTTCTGATTTAGGAAACCTAATTCTATTTCAATTAATAATCCAATGTAGAAAATATTTCTCCTACTAATCTTCATCTTCTAGAAGACTCCTTAGTCTTCTAACACTACAGAAGATTCTAGTAGGAATATTATATTCCTAATTAAATTAATTAATATGGAATAAAATTAATTCCTGTTTAAATAGAATTAAATAATAAAACATTCCACTAGAGTAATATTATTGCTCTCCCCATTTAACCACTATTTTACCAATAAAATCGAGCCTCCATAATTAAATAATATTAATCTGATTGATCGATTTACCTCCCTATGTTTAAGATATAACATCCGTTGATTAATTAAATTACTCACAATATAATCAATCAACTTCTTATTCATTTCCGAAGTTAGTACCACTCAGAACCTTAACCATTATGTCAGACAATCGTCTACCTGCAGGGTTTAACATAATGTACATTCCTGAGCTCATTTCGGGGACGTCATCAATCCAGTGCACTTGAACATAGTGACTATAAATAATTTATAATAACACATCATATAAGTATTCTTACGTACCAAAATACCTCGTATGTCATTCTAATAAAATAGGAATCACTTGGTAAATCAAATAAATAAGAGATAAATATATATGCCTATTTTATATTATATTACAGCTTAAGAGAACGCATCAATCACTGAAGGTCTAGGTTACAACAACGATCAGTGAGTCTCATAACCTTATCCTTCTGTGGTCCTGTTCAACACTTAACATAAGTGCTAGTGTAATTCTTCAGTCAAAGACCAACTGAATCAAGAATACACTACAGTCTTTTTCTAAGAGGGGTCTCACTGTCTGTCTAAACAGTGAACGAATAGTTTAGTCTTATAAGGAACCGATAGGTGATCTTTCTGTTCGAAACACTTCGAACCACACTATCTCAATATAAAACATGGAGTATGATTTGCATAAATAAATAAACTGCAAATATATGTACTTTAACTGACACATGATGGCCAGATCAAAATGGAATCGATAGAATCTGCAAAACATAGCTTTTACAGCATATCTCTAACATTTTATTTATTTATGCAATCATACTTCTTGTCTTATATTTAGATTGTGTGGTTCGAAGTGTTTCAAACAGAAAGAACACCTAACGGTTTCTTGTAAGACTAAATTATCTGTTCACAGTCTAAACAAGCAATGAGACCCCTCTTGGAAAAAGACTGTAGTGTATTCGAGATTCAGTTGGTCTTTGACTGAAGAACTACACTAACACTTATGATACGTGTTGAACAGGACCACAGAAGGATAAGATTATGAGACTCACTGATCGTTGTTGTAATCTAGACCTTCAGTGATTGATGTGTCCTCTTAAACTATAAGATAATATAAATAGGCATATATATTAATTTCTTTTGATTTATCAACGGTGATTCCTATTCTGTTAGGATGACATACTCGGTACTTTGGTAAATGAGAGTGTTTATATGATGTGCTATTATAAATTATTTACAATCACTATTTTCCAGTGCGCTGGATTGATGACATCCCCAAAATGAGCTGAGGAAGGTACATTATGTTAAACCCTACAGGTGGACAATTGTCCAACATAATGGTTAATGATGTGAGTGGTACTAATTTCAGAAATGAATAAGAAGTTGATTAATTATTTTGTCAGTAATATAATGAATCTACAGACGCTATATAAACATAGGGAGGTAAATCGGTCAATTAATATTAATTAATCAGTGGAGGTTCGAATTTATTGTGTAAATTAGAAGCTAAATGTGGAGAGCAATAATATTACTCTAGTGGGATGTTTTATTATTTAATTCTATTTAGATTAAGGAATTATTTTATTCTATAACTAATATTCCATAAGGAAAGGAAAAGGAATATTTATTTTAGAATATTACCTAAGGTTAGGAGAGTATGAAATATTGAAGGTAATAATTAGTAGGAGAATATTATACTTATATGGAGAAGTAAATGGAGTAGAATAAAGACTCCTTAACCGAATGGAATAAGCCCATATTTAGCATCTCCTTAAGGTCTATAATGGAGCCTATAAATACGCCATGTCCCAAATTCTTGGAATATACATGTTGGTCGATTTGTTTCCCTTCCACATACGAGAGAAATTGTCTTCTTCGAGAGTTGGGGAGATTTGATTAATCGCACCACCAAGATTAATCGAAGTAGGTATTTAGGTAATCCATTAGAAGACTTTTGGGTAATATTTATTCGAACCTTCTTGTTCATATTTTCCAGTCACATCTCGCCGTCGTCAACTACCGCCGCCCACAGTCGCCGGAGACCGCCCGTGCCCAGCCCAGCACAACGGTGAACTACCGCCCACTACCGTGCACAGCCAGACACCACCAGCGACTCCTAGCAACACCACGCGAAAGGCCTGCTTGCGTTGCACCACCGCTGTCCGTCGTCCTCGTGCATCGTCATTCCCAGCGAGACCCGACCTGCGTGCGACAGTCATGCGTGA